TTATTCAGCTGTTACAGATTAAGACAGACGTCAGGTAACTGATGAACAAATATATCCAAATAATTATTGTAATATATGTAGAGATATCGGCTGGATTTTAGTTTGATCATCTTTAGAAAAATATGAATGAGTAATCAACAAAATAACCAAAGTAATAAATAAAATTAAGCTTAGTTATTTCTTTCATCACTCACCATTTAAAGATAAATGTCATATTTTGCATTGGCACACATATTCATAACTACTCTGCGTTAAAATGGAGGCTCTGCTCTATTTAACCTGTTGCCATAGTGAATCATGACATCTGAGCCCACTGATGATGGCTTTTTTTTACTACACAGACATGTTTAGCTCTGCAAATATTCTCAGAGGTGGCTGAACTTATTCTGATTAGATGCTCTGGAACCGAAAAGTTTCTCATTTTAGGATGAATCAAGATTAAAGTTATTCTGGGAGTTCTTGTCTTCTGGAACAGACACCTGGAACTGCCTCACCTGAATGTAACACATGCCACTATTAGGGTTACACTTAATAAATACACAGCCACCCATTTAGCCTCTAGTCTTATAACCACTAATCACCTCTTATGCGATCTGTATTAGAAGCATGGAACAATCTACTGAGAAACCTTCATGCACATAATACAAGCTCTTTCTGCAGCTCCTCACCTTAGCTTTTAGTGGCAGAGCATAGACAGATTCGGTGAGTGAAGAATTCTGCCTTCGGTCCAGAGTGTGGTAGACATGTTCCTCCCCGTCCTCTTCATCCACCACTTCCTGTTCCTTGTCTTCCAACTCACCCTCTGACTGGTCAGGAGAGGACAGACGTGGCCGGCTAACCAAATCTTCTGACCATCTGTCTCTGAGGAAGTTAAGCATGTAAGATAACAGCAGAAGACAATTAGATGTATCTTAGTAGAGGCACAAACTAATACAGCCACTTTTATGAACAGTTTATTTTCTCTTAAAACTCCTGCCAGAGAAAATGAATTTTATTTTTCTGACACACTGGTGATGACACAAATCTTCACATAATACTGTTGCCTTTCCCATATGATGGCTACCTTGTGTAAAGTGCTGTGCTGATGTTTGGCTCAGATGTGAAGGATTCTGATTGACCACTCTCGGATAGAGACATCAGCCGGGCAGGAGGGATGGCCCATGTCTGTCCAGTGAGTGAGGATGATAAAATGGCTGCCGCTAAGGCGGACCTGTAGATAGAAACACATACTTTATGAGACACTATGTGTAACAGAAAAGTAAATGAAATGCATGGAAAGCATCCAAATTTATTTATAGAGTTTGGATGATGACAATTATCAATAAATGCATCATTTATGACAACAACAACGGCACAAGCAGAGCAGATCATTAACCAAAGCCAGTGCTCTAGTTTTCAATTTAATTAAAATGACTTGGACCTGCACTAAAATTTAATGTTTTTTTCTTTACACGTGATCTATCGCTACACAAAGTCTCATGATATTTTGCTTGTTAAGGTTTTTTGTAATAACAGATAGAAAAACAAATAAAGCCCAGCTTGCGGAAGGACAGAACATAACCTCAAATACGGTGGAAATAATCAGCATTTCGATAAATAGCCTCTAACAATCTCATAGCAAACATGAAAATGTGGATTAAATGACAGTTTAGCAGAAAAATGAAACATGAAAGGATGTTGGAGGTTATGGGCGATAAACAGAAAGTGTTAGGTACCTGGGTCTCTCAGGTGAAGGGTTTGGGCTGCGAGGGGGAGGGGTACGAGGTACGGCTGGTTTGGGAGCAATGGAGGCAGCAGGGATCAAACCATGAGCTATATGCTTCTACGCAACACAGAGAGAAGAGTTAGAGGGACATACAGACACAACGCTTCCGGAGGGTTTATATAAGATGACACCAAATTGAGGGGGGGACAAAAACAAAAAACAAAAAACAAAAAACAACACAGATGTTGTGCAGGATGAACAGCAGGGGAAGGGTAAAAGGATTTATTACAGAATCACAGTATGACCACCTGACGACCAGTGATGAGCATAATGAAGGCACAACAGCACCAATAGTTATCCTTAAATTTTACTAAGTAATGCTAGAGCAATCGCTAGTGCACAACCCTCAATTCACCATTTATACAAACTCCAGTTTAAAAAACAGGCAATACCATCAATTAAATACTCATTACCAAGAGTTAGCGGCAGTATTTTTAAAAACAAAGAACTCCTGCTATTATTAATTAACCCTAAGTAAAGCCTTAAAAAACACAAAAAATAATAAGACAAACTACAAAAGGTTAATATCTATCATAAAAGAAGGGAAACTTACAAACTCCTTGTCTTTCTCCCTCCTAAAGCTAAATCTTAACATACTGGAAATACGTTTTACAGTTGCCGTCTACTATATAGGTTAATGTTATTTAATGCTTTTGCGAAGTATTCTTTCAATAAAATAGTTTTACAATTAAATCAGAAATTAAAATTCGCCGAGAAAGGAAAATGCGTAAGCTAACTAAATTCAACAAGGCTGGCTGCTTGCAGTTTCCTTGTATCTAGACGCTTCACAACAAGAAGGAACCGCGCTCCAAACGTAACGCTGATTGGCTAAGTTCGAAGGCAAAAGCCAATCAGAGACTGCTTTGATCCACCTAGCAACGACTTGCTTACCAACTCGCGGCCTGGCCAACAGGGGACGATGTTGGCACATTTAAATAACACCGTTTGTCCCCGAAAAAACTTTTTTTTTTCTTCTTTCACTGCTGGTGACTTTTAATTTGAAGAATGGGGCTTTTTTCAAGTAGGAATAAGTAAATAAAACGTCATTCCCCCACCTGTATTAGCCGCCTATCTGAAGGTCTGCTGTGTTTGTTCTGTCGAAATTCCCAAACTATTTATCTACTGTATTATAACAGTGGCTACGTTTATAGGTATCCCAATTGCGATCTTTACAGTTCCTCACCAATAGGAAATACGTCAAACTATAAAATCCACCCAATCAACACAAAACCAAATACAGAAGACAACCATAAAGCCATAAACTGTGCGGCAAATCAAAAAACCGTCTATGCCTTTCTTTAATCTTTTAAATAACCGAGACGTTCCTTAATAAAATACAGCTATGTGTGGGTCAGATCTTTAGCCTGTTTTTTGTCATTTGAAGCATAAAGGAACAGCTTTAGAAAAGCATTGTATAAGTATAATTTTAACCTTTTTATTTCTTTCCAACATGAAAAACAGAGTTATTGTAATAAATGGGGAAAAAGTGTAATCTTGGTTTTATTCTGCTTCTTAATTTAAAAAAGCAAACAAAACAACTTTGCCTTAGGAAACAAATAGTGGGACAAATAGTGGCTAAAGTCAACACATTGGTTCCTGCAATATTTACTTTTCTGATTAACATAAAGCTGGAGAGAATTTTATCTTTCCAGGGCTATGTTGGAACTAAAATCACAGAGATGAAGAAAATCTGTGAATAAAATTTAACCACATGGTATTTCTTTTCAGTTTCTGTGGATTAGGATGTCATATGATCCTGGGCTAGACGTTCAATAGTTAAAAGCACGAGTCTTGACTTGGCGTGTATGTGGTCAAGACTCATTCCACGCATTCCCGACCTGATTGGTAACTGGAACCACAGACAGAATTAAAGAATTTTATCTTCCCCATGTGTTTTATTCCTTTTTATTGTCATTTGAACTCATACAAAGACTTATCAACACAGAGCTATGCAGGACCAAGCACAGAAAGGAATAAAGGCAACCTGAAAGCTTTAGAAAAACAGGTACCATAAACCTCTGCAGATACACTAAGGCATTTAGAATTATTAGGCACTGTAACATGAACACAAAGATGTAAAAAAAGATGATCCTCTCCATCTGTTAGTACACTTAACAAAATATGAAGCATTCACTGCACAGACTTGTTACACACTCAGTGAGGCATTTTCCTTCATGATTTAGCATAAATGGCACTTAAAAGAAAGTAACAGGTAAACAGTAAAGAATGTTACATCTTCTCAGTGAAACTGCTTAAAAACATTTAGAATTTAAAACATTGAAATGCAGCAATATATAAGTTCGCTAATGGATTAAGCAAGGCTAGTAAAATACATTCATTCAAGAAACAAATCAAGGACTCTCGCGTGCAAAACAACATTCACAACTTGACCATTCACAAAGTAGCTCTACAACCTACAGTTTACAGGTAAATATATATTTTTGTGTTTTTTATTACATAAATAATTTGATTATCAAATGTGTATAAGAATCTACTTTGTAGATAAAGAGAAAGTCCAACACGGCAAAGTGTCAGTAAAATAGGGAATGTGACTAAGATAAAGACAGGTAGATAAAGAGTAGAAACCCAAATGTGGGATTTGATCAGAGTCACTGTAGGGTGACTGGCTGTCCAAGTGATGCAGGAAAGTCATCAGTCTGCCCACATTCTTCCCTTCTACAGACATAATAAACTTTAACTACATCAAAATTCACATCAATAAAACACAGGTCATGCTCTTCTTAGGGACGCGGGTAGGATGAATCACAAGGGTAAATGATACATCCTTGTATTTCTGGAACTTGGAGGCATATTGGTCTGTGGCATAACTGGTACATTAAGCAAATCTAAAATACCAATATTTGTGCATTTAAAACTGTGTCCCAGGAACGGCACTCAGCAGAAACAACAGTCCTCAAAGACTGTCTCACAAACACAAATGACAGTAATACATAACCATGGTACACATATGATTTTTTTTTAGCAGCTTATAGAATATTGCATTCATCACACCCCTCTTCCCAGACATAAAAAAAACTCCACTATACAATTAGCATTCCCTCAATCACTGTTTAACATACTGCAACATAGTTTATTAAATCTACATCCATAAATCCATGAATTTTAAATCCCGAAACTGATCAGCGGCCACTGATTTCTACAAAACTGTGGCAATAAGAGATTCCTTCCCATATACAGTATGCACAGCTATGCTCACTGTGTACAGCTCTGTACACAATGGCACTAACAAGGGAGTGCTTAACCCACAATCAAATCACTGCCTTGCAGTCGAGCAGAAACTGGGGCTGGGTGTGTTTGCACAACTTTGTTTTCTTCTTCGATTCGTCTGGAGCATGTTTTTCAGAAAAAACAAAAACAATACACTGAAATTGCAGCTTAACTAAGAAGCCAGTCTCAGTGCTCTGTGTGTGTGTGTGTGTGTGTGTGTATACGTTTTAGTTTTCCCCACAGTGCAGTTTTACTGTGCTGTACATATACTGGAATGGCACTAAATGCTTTTTATTGTGTCTGACGTACAGTGCAACTTGCATCAGATACAGAACTGTGCTGGGAAAGCACCCACATACCATCAAGTGCACCAATATACAGTATTTGGCACAGCCACTTTCCAAAGCAACATACTACATACACTGCTGCTTAGTATTCCAGTGGAAACACCAAAGGTCACTGATAGTACACAAAACAGGTCCAGTATAGGTACAGCACAGTACTGTATACTGGGCTCAATATGCGTACTGCAGACAGTAACAGCTGCAGTTAGCTCAGTAGAGGCCACTGTCATTGTTGTAGGAGCTGGAGCTGGGGAAGGTGGGACAAGGTTTATTCCAGGGCAGAGCGCCGGCCTTGTCTGCTGTGGGAAGGCTGAGGGTGCTGGCACTCTTCATCTTGTTCTTTAAACCCCAGCTGAGGAATGATGACTTCTTGGCTACTTTGCGAACCTTGGAGTTCTTGTCATCTTCATTATAGGCCAGACAAATCATGGAGTAGGTCTTAGGCAAGTTTCCACAGAAGGTTGCACTCTTGGTAGGCTATGGTACAGACAATGAAAATGACATTTAGTAAAAATAAAAAAACAAAAAGTGTCAGTCAGTGTTTTGCAGAGTTATTAATATTTATTTATTTTTTTACACTGCATACCAAACAGTCCTAATTATTTCATCAGTCAATGAGTTATTAATCAGTTGTTAATATCCGAAATCATAAAAAAACCTATTGTGAATAGTTATGAGGGGTTGCAAAACAAGTACAGAATAAATACATAACCTAATGAAGTTTACCACCTTTTAAATACTTGTAGAAGTGCATTACTTTTTAACATACTTTCATATAGTTTCTTAATTTCACTGAGGCACTGTTTCTTTCCAAATCATGCCCCACTGTGGATGAGTTTAAACCTCAATGATTTTAGCTCTTTGTCCACATGTTTAGGCTACTTGGCTGGTGAACTCACACAGCAGTAATTTGTTTTAAACACACACGCAGGTCACAGTCAAGGTCCTGTTTCTCATGGGAAATGATATAAACCATTTACACTGATACCTCCAAGGAGAAATCTGAAACTCTGGACTGAGCAATCACTTTGCACAAAGACCAATTCTGCCGTCACCATTTGTTAATCAAACAAACCTGCTGATAACCTTTCCCTGAACACATTGGACAAAACGAGGGCCTTGCATACCATGGCAGTGCTGTTGTCCATCATGCTGACCACCTGGATATCAATCCCCTCCTCGTCCACGTCCTTCAGAAGTCGCATCACGTCACTCACGCTCATCCACTTGCACTCTGTGTCACCCACAGTAATGATGTAGTCACCCTCTTTGAGGCCATCAGCCTGGAAAAAAACATGACACAGAAAATTGAGTTACAGGGTGAAATATCCTGATATTGTAGAAGAGTAAACATTTACAAGTCATGTTGAACTACTTTCCTTCGACTCCCTTGAGGCAGCTACAATCAGCCGAAAAACAACTGAAGTTTAGTCTAAAGTGGGGGTTATTTGGGGGGGTGGGGTTTTTACGCCTTATTTTTTCAGAAGGCATAACTCATCATTAGCGTGCTGCAGAGCACTCCACTAACATGATTTCACATGTGTCTATCTTATAATGTGATCCATGTCCACCTAAGATAGGTCAAACAGTAATGACCCAGCAAGTTCTAAATAAAAATCTTATTTAATGCAGTATTTAAAGTTATGAATAGTCTGACCTAGTTAGCTTATGCAAGACTACTAATCTGTTTCTCTACATAGCTTGCAGGGCCTAATAAAAGTCTGCTCTTTGTCAGCACCTCTTAATGAGCTGTCAGACTGCTGGCTTGTAGAGAGTAACTACTCCCTGATTCTTAATTAAATTAGTAGTCAGAGTAGCTGACAAACAGGAGGAGGGGAAGTCCTCCAAACATTCTTTGAGGGTGAAATCCTGTTTAGGCTTCCAAGAGTGACTTTATTTAATCAAAGGCTCATTGAGTAGATAAGATCGAAACGTATTTGATATTCTGCATGGAAGCACAACTGAAAATTCAAGCTGTTAGATTTTCCACAGCAAACAAAGCTACTCCATGATTGTAATTAATATCGAGAAACCTATGCATCTGATTTTTAATCAAATCTGCCAAGAGCACCAAAAGTGGCCAAAAGATATCTCTCCTGTGCTCTAAAAACAATGAACCTTGTAAAATTAAGATGAGAACAGATATGCCAAACAGTGCGTGATTATAATTTAACAGAGTAATTTCAAAAAAGGAACTTCCAAAGGACTAATGCATTAATTATGAATTACACAGAAAGTTAATAAACCATGTAATGTTGATTGTTACATGGCACCACACTGACAGTCACTTAAAATCCTGTATATCTACTCCTGTTCATTCAGTGGTAGGAAATAGAGTTTAACTCACAGCAGCTGCACAGAGAGGGTCCAGTGAAACCACCTGAACCGGTGAGTCTCCTTTCAGTGTGAAACCCAGGTCTCTGTCGTCTGAGCGAACCCGTATTGTCCGTGGGGCAGTCCACCGCTGCTTGGCCGAGAAGACTGACTGCGGGCCCTGTGTGGAGACAGAATGTGGATGCTGGGATTAATAAGGCTACAGGTATTCTTGACTTAAGAAGATAATATCCTGTTGAGTTTGATTTCAGTGAATGCTGCGGGGGAAACTGAAAATCCAATATAATGTCTTGGCTTCTGCCCTTAATACTTTTCATATTTGAGCTATATTACTGTAGCAGTAAACGGCAGGTAAAGGGCCAGAACGGTGGCTACAGTCTTGTGTATTACCACTTCAATTCAGAGGAGCTGGAAGAATTAATGGTACCTTTCACACACCTGAAATTATTTTTCCTCAAAATTTTAGCACGGATGTCATTTTTGTGTATGATTAGGCAAAAAAAGGCAGTGAATCCTTTGAACAAACTGACACTCATGGAAAACCTGTAGGTGTTATGCATCTATCCTTGAAAGTTGATATTTCCAATAATACTTTCTATTTAGGCTGCCCGTCTCTAACGCACTTGTTATCTGCTGGGAAAATCTCTCCTCCATTGAATCCTGACACTCAGTTGTACCTAGTACCAAGACGTCTCTTATCGCGATGGCTTTAGTAATCACCAGAGTGATTGTTCAGCGCGATGGTGCCAGATTAAGCTTTTCAGTCCCACATTCCTCTTCATATCTCTGGGAATATGTTCTTGCTGCTTTTGTAACTGGCACCAGACAGGTACTTATTCACCTACTACTGGAAATGTCAGCTGTGACCCAGGCCCCCCCTTATGAATGATTTCACCTTTTTTAAACATCCCTTTCAAACAATGTGAACAGAAGATTCCAGGGTTAGAGAGAGAAAATTTGTTAGTCACCCATCCCCCCCCCCTACCTCTCACCACCACCGTTTATGAAAGGTACAGGAACATTACTCAATGCATTTAGCATGAAAGACTCCAAACTTGGAATGCGAAAAGTTTGGGAGTTACAGGAAAATGAAGTCAACCTTCAATCTCAAGGTAAATTCACCAACTTCAGTAGAGATTTTTCCTTCAACAGAAGCAGTGAACTGTAAAAAGTTCTATTTTCTCATCTCCCTTTAAAATACCACAATGACCATGAGCAGACTTAAAGCAAGGGCCAGCACCTTTGTCCATGTTTAGTGTTAGTTTTGCATGAGTCCAGAAAGTACTGACAAGAGTTTTCATGTGCCAAAGCTTCCAGAAGACTCATCCTTGGTTGGTTGTATTCAGAAACAACAAAAAATACACTCTGGGTGTTAAAATAAAATAAATAAATGAAACTTTTTAGGACAAAACACAAATCCAGAGGCATTTAATGTTCTTTAATGAATAGACCAGACCAACAACCATGTATGAAATGTGTGAGTAAATTGTTAGTAACCCACGTACCAGCCTCTGGAAAAAGTCGATGACTTTCACCTTTGCAGCTGCGGGAAATTCCATCTCTGCTTTGTGTTCTGTTTTAGCTATAAAAAAAAGAGAGTAACAAAAATAAATTTATCACTCTATAATGTTTACCGTCACAACCACATTTCAATTGTTAAGAGAGATGGACAGGGAGTTGGCAGTATAAACATTACATCATCTCTACTTGGAAATAAATGCCACTTATCAAAGCTAACTGCAGCAGGTGTGGCAGACAATGCAGCTCCCTTTTTATGAGCTGTTTCCTGAGAGACAGTCCTCCCAAATCAACACAGTGTTTTTGCTTCGCTTTAGTGCCTTTTGTTAGTGTTAAGTGTGACACTAAGGTGACTGTTCGGTTTCTGTGATTACCAGAGGATGAATAGCTTTCACCTCAGTGACATTTATTGGAGACTCAAATGAGCTTTAAAATCATTGACAAACTTATCATGTTTCCTTGCATATATTTTAACTCTTATTATTATAACTTATTTAAAAACTAAACAAAAACAACTCACAGATGATTTTTGGGGCCTCCATATAATCAGCGAACTCTTCCTCATTTTCATTTTCACTGTGCTTGTTGACTGAGCGCTGGTGGCTGGCTTTTAAAATTTCCTGCAGGACTTCCAAGTTGTTGGTATTCTTACACAATCCATAAATCCTCAAAGCCTCCTCATGACCGAAGATGGCACGACGGATGTGAGCTTTACCTGCAGAAGAGGAGAAAAATTCATCAAGAAAAGTGAAGAAGACAATAAAGAGGAAAGGAGGGACTGAGATGAATACGCAGAGCTATTTTGTTTCGATTTGTGCTTATTTTACCAATCCGCTGACGTTCATCTTTCTTCTTTAAGATGTCCAGAGCAGTGCATCCCTCAGGAAGGCTATCATACACCTGTGACAAGGTCTTCTCCTGCTTGTCCTCATCATCGCCCGGACCCACTGAACACACAGAGAGCACAAAAAAAATTAAGCAACTGGAAAACTGTTTTATATCTCTCTTTTTAAAGCATAAATTACAAGCAGAACTATTGATAGTGATTTTGATTATTATGTGGGGTTTGCATGCTCTCTATCGGTACTCCAGCTTTGTTCCACAGTCCAAAGATCAAAGTCAAAAGTTGACAGTAGGTGTGAATGTGAATGGTTGTCATTCTCTATGTGTTAATCCTGTGAAAGACTGGTGACCTGTCCAAGGTATATTCTGCCTCTCACCCTATGACAGCTTAGATAGATTCCCTGCCCCCAATCCTGAATTGGACAAGCAAATGAATGTTTTAAAAGAAGTTTTAAAATGCAAACTTTGTTCATATATTCCATCATTCAATCTTCCTTTTCTGGTTCACTGGATTTTAAAGTTTTAATTAAATCTATTAAACCAAAAGCATCTGGAAATATCTTTTAGCTTCCTGAGTTTTCTGCTTAGCAGAGACGGTATAGAGAATTTATTTGGAATCGTTTGTGATTAATCTGTTTACTACAGCAATCTCAATTCAGCCCTGCTCTGTAGTCAAGGCCTCTCTACAGTCCAGTGGTTAATTGCTCTATTCTCCGTGTTCACACAGGAATCTGTTAATGAGCTGCCAAACCCAAAGCTGCTTCGTTCCGTTGTTTCCTTTATTCAGTCTTGTCCCACTCTCAGAACCATAGCCACCCACTCTGCTCTATTTTGTTTTTGATTTATTCATTTCCAAATGTACATGTAAAGTACAAAAGGAAAAGAATAAAAACATACAGCGAAACAGTGGACATCAGTAGAAAATTGCATTATGGAGTTGACATAAAGCTGGAGATAAGAAAAATCACCGTTCCTTTCCCTCACACTCTCTCACTTGGTCCCATCTATTTATGTAAAGAGCTGTAAGAGTCTACATAACTGTTAATCCTGCAGAAGTATACAGCACTTACACTCAGTTGGGTTTTTTTTGTTGTTGTTTTTTTCATTTTTAAATCACCTCAGCTGTCTTTCTTTCCCTTCTCATCATGACCTCTTTTGCTGTCTTTTTGGGACTCTTTACAATCATGTGTGTCAGACAATTTGTGAGTATCCCCAAAGAGGCATTATATAAAAGCATCCAAGATGGCTGTGGTACAGGGACGTAATCTGACATGACCAACCCAATGGCCCATACAGCACTTTAAGAGATCAGATATTCCAGAGAGCTCAGGAGGCAGTCCAAATCCTGTTACATCCAGCCTTGAACTGCTGTACACATTAACAACCAAGAGCCAAATATCTACTACACACAACCCGCATGAAAACTTACTAAAGGAGAAATGTATTAACAATCTTTTAACATAAACACTTTTTCAGGTAAAGAATACATTTGTGTTGTCTAAGCAGAACAACACAACAGCATTTTTTTTATATGTATCTCTGAAGAAATAATAACTTCCCCCCAAATCCCACTAAATCAAAAATTTGAATCTCTTCTTACACTGGTGGTCCAGCAGTGCTGAAGCTACAAAGTAGTGTGCCATGGAGCGGTAGTGGTTGGTTTTAATTTGTGACATGGTGGACCAGAAAAATGGCACATTGTCTTTTACTGGTGTCTGGATCATGCACTGATGGACTTGGTCGTAGATTTCTGAGACCTGGCAGGAAGAGGATGATAGAGTTACATTTAAAAGTGCATTAAAAGCACCAAGACAGGTACAAAAAATAAAAAGAACTGTGGCGACATTATCGCTTTACATTCACTTTAAGTACAGTAGATCTTTCTAAGTCTGGAGCAAGAACAAGAGTATTACTTGCATATAATGTGAGAACTATGTGTGGCTTTTCTGAAGTTTACCTTTGCAGCCTCTTGTGCAACTTTCATCAGAGAGTAGAATTGGTTTCGGATGCCAGGCAGTGCAATCTTCTCAAACAAGCACTCTTGAGCCTGAGCAAGCATCAGCCGAATCAGCATACTGAGCATGGCTGGACTCATGTCGTAGCTGGGAGTGTGGGTGAAAGTCTCCTTAAGGTTATTCAAGACACCTGGACAGGAAAGAGCCGTCGGCACAAGTTGAAATCTAATTAGTGCAAGGAAACTACAATTAGTGCTAGTTATTTAAATCATCAGAGACTTAACTGAGAAAAGAAGAAGAAAGAAAAACAAAAAACAAAACTAAATTACTCCTACACTACATGGAAAACTTCCAGTTTTGGGTTGTATTTTGAAGCCTGCAGGGAGAAAGCCTGCTTTCTCTTTTCCAGCCTCAAGTCTGGGTCAGCTACATAACAAAAGCCACTTTCATGTAATCTCAGTCGTCATGTAATTCCAAGGCTAGAATGGTAATTTCAGAACAGAACCTCTCGTTTGGGATTTGGTTGACATGAGCTATATCTGGAACATGAGTATTTATGTATCATGGCTAGCCCACATTTGACTTTGACAGTAAATATTTGACAGTAGAAGTTTGATATTATAGTTAATAGATTGGGCATAAGCCATATCTCTCTCTCTCTCTTTTTATCAATTACTTAATTAGAAGAAAGCATATATTTTGCTAGTCCACAAAACAACAGATGTGGTTCTGCTGGTACTTTAACCCTAAGAACTGACACCCTTTTAGACAGATGTTTTAAAAGGTGCACAGGTAGACCAGTGCCTTTTTGCTGTTAATAGTATTTCAGCAAGATTAACTATATCTGTGTCTGTCTGTTAAACACTGAGCAAAGAAATAAACATTAAATTAATTCAATTCAATTTTATTTATATAGCGCCAAATCACAACAACAGTCGGCTCAAGGCGCTTTATACTGTACAGTAGATCGTACAATAATAGATACAAGTTACTTTGGAAGAAATGAGGCCATGTCCACTCCAGCTAAGAATTTATGCCTACTGTTTGCCAGATAAAAACCTGGCAACAGTGAGTTGTAGACAGCTTAATAACAGAGCAATGCCTCAGTACAGTTCGCATAAAGACTTGGCAACTCCTACAGTAGCTGGCTTCTCTCATTCACATCACCTTTTGCGTCCTTGGCTAAAGAGCCCTGCAGCAGTTGCGCTACACCTAGCATTCCTGCCTGTAAACTCCCAGCTTGGATTACTACAGGTTCTTGGTCACAATGTTCTTCATAATAACATAATTGTTTTCCTTCACACAAGCCTAAATTAAAGCCATCAAAGCAACATAGTTGAAGCAATATCCAGAGCTATAATTATAGACCAATACTGCCCACACTGCAAAGTCATAAATCTATCACGAAACATTCTGAAACCTTTGAGGGTTGGACAGTCTCTTCATGTTTTTGGTGCTTCCTGGAGCTCAGCCACATGACAAGAAACATCTACATTCATTCTCCGTCACGGAACAGAAGTCAGGGTGGAAGCTGGCCAATATTCTAAAAACAAAACTGTACTGCAGTGGCAATACTTTTCTGAGAACTGTGTTATCAGA